ACCTGGACACAGAAACATCTCCTGTCAACAGGAAAGGAAGCTTGCAATATTCATTGGATTAGACTTTATTTTGTTATCTTTTGTCATTTTGATCTTCACTGATTTAAAACCAGCCAGAACCAACTACTAGAACGTAGAACAGTATCAATTTAAAGAGGGAGGAAAATAGGTGATATTCCTCTTCCACATCTAACCCATTTGACAACACAGCTGCAGGTGTCACTGTGCAAGAGCATTCGGTTTTGTTATTCAAATTTCTACCACACAATTCATTTATGAGTCAGTGATACGTACATCACCATGGGATCTTTTAGGTCTGTTCACACATGCGAAGTGATGGGCTGCAGCTGGCCGCATTAATCTCAAGTGGATTATCTTGTATGAAGGACACCAGGATTATCCCAGAGATACACGTCCAATGAATGGCCACCAAAGTGCATTCGCAGAGGGTATCACTCAGCATTTCTCTTCCCTCCCACACAGCCCCACTCCAGAGAATTCATTTGTTTGTCTCAGGATAAACTGAAATCTACTTCACAAACATCTCTGCACATGAGCCTCCTACCAGCAAGTGAAAAGCACACCCAGCCAGCATCTTCTTGAAAGGGGAAGGTGATAAGGCCAAAATTTACAACTGTCCCTAGAGCGAGCAGAGGCAGCACATGTGCTTCAGGAGCAAGAGCCTTGTTAATTAATTTTTGACTTTCAGAGCTACAGTGCCAGGAACGTGTCACAGTTTCCTTTGAACATCTGTAGGTGCTTGAGCAGCTCCAGGTGTGCAGATGTGAAGTGGCCGATGCAAGGCAAGGCTTAAACAAATCAGATTGTTGTCCTGATTTTCTCGTGCTTGTTCAGACTTCGAAACACAGCAGGGACAGTCATCTGTCTAAATCCCCATATTCTTTTCTGCTAGTGAACTTGAAGGAGCATTTGCCAACCCTCTCCACCTGTTTGTTGCAGGAAAACATTTGGGTTAAACTGAAAGCTTGACGTATCTAACAAATTCTCCGGCACTGTGTCTTGGTGTAGTTGTCAGTACCCCCATCTTTTCCCTAGTTCTTTCTCTCCAGATTGTGTGTGAATTTTCTCTCCTTTTCCTCCATCTGTACTTCTTCTATATTTGTTCCTTTTTGCCTAGCAGCTCTCCTCTCCCGCTGCTTTACTGCTCCAGCTGAGCAGAGGGCAACCTGCTCGTTGTGGTGCCAACCGTGCTCCTTGTCAGTGCTACCCACAGCTGTGCAGGGAGCCACGAGAGCAAAAGCAAGGGGTTTGATGTGATACGTCAGAGTCAAGACCTCCCCTCTGTACTGTGAACTGTTCTGAGAGCCTACTGCAGTCTCAGCCACTGACAGCAGAGAGAGAAGGGACACGACATCAGGGTTTGGGGGGCAATAGCAATATGCAGACAGGGGCTTCCATGCAGTTTCTCCCCATCCCATCCCACTGCCACGTCACTCGGTTCCTGGCGCTCTGCAGACATATGCACACAGCCTGCCATGTTGCTGACCTGCTGTCTGAAGCTAAAGCCTTCTCCTTTTCCAACCTGTTATTTTGCTTTCTGGCAACCAGAACATCCACGTGCAGGACTGTCACCCACAGTCCCGGCAATGCTGCAAGACTGGAGCCAGGCAGAAAGGGCTGGTTTGTAGGTTATGGGCGGTGGTGAAAAAGAGCGTGCTGCTGCTGCTGCAAAGTCAGGAATAGGGCCAGGCTACAAAAGGCTGAGCCAGCCCATATGCTTTAACACCCCTCACCCCCGCCACAACATTTACCAGATGTTCAAGTGCACGTTTTTGATTCATCCCATCATAAAGGTTGAAAACATTTAAAAATGAAAATCCAAGCACAGGCTATCACCCTCTTCAAAAATGAGAGTGTTGGGAGGTGAGGTTTTACTTCAAGATCATTGAAACAATGGTGGAGTGGGGGGGGTGGGGGAATGGATGGACAACAACAAAATGCTTCAAATTAAAAATCCAACCTTAAGCAGTATAAAATTTAAGTAAACATTTTTAACATAAGAGAAACTGGAGGGAAAGAAAATGCAAGAGCAGAACCTCACCTCCTTTCCTCAACTCATACTCCACCTGTGCGCAGGAGCCGGGCTGTGACTCCTGCCTACCCACCACACAGGAACTGCGCTTCAAAGACCTGTTTAATTATGGCTCTCATGTATCAACACAGCCTGTCTCCCAACCCTCCTTTGCATCGGCCTATTTGAAACTGGAGTGGAGCCCAGCTGCGCTCCGAGGATTGCACTGTCATCCCCAGCGCCGGCTCTGCAGCCCATCATGCCACCCACTCGGCAAAACAGCTGCAGGTTTGCCGTACTGCACGCTTTCTGCATGCCCTGCATTTCGGGAAAACCTCCTCCACAGAGAACATGAATCTCCAATTAGCCTTAATAGCACCTAAATTTGAACAAGGGGAGAAAGCGTCATACAATATTAATCGTGCAATTCTGTTACCAGCACACACTGTACCCATGTGAGCAGCTGCACAGTTTACATCCCCTTCGATCCATCTGATCTACTTTCAAAAGGATTTGCACATGAAGAGTGTTCTTTATCTTCATGCCAACCACAGGCATTTACCTTCTGAGTAGTATTTGGAGCATACAGTGTATTTGGTGTATCAAAAAATATTCCTCCCTGTCTTCTTCCTCCTTTGGAAATAATCATCCTTTTCCAGCTCTGAGGAGTCCCTCCAACAGTGCATTTCACAGGAGCTACTAAGCAGCTCTGCGAAGACCACCTCTGCTTCTTTCTAACCAGTTCTATTAGACACCGCCCATGTTTAGGCCCATTAACCTGATCACAACAGCTTGATGAATTAATGCTTATATAGACACAGTTGGCAGCTTCCAATTAAATAATTATGGCTAAGCAGCTGCAGAGAAGTTGTAATGTTCCACTAGAAAGCCAGATGTCAATTTTATTGGTCCTCAAAGTTTCAAATGAAATGATTTGGGGAGATTTGGAAAGGAGGTTCTTTTGCTCCAGGTGAATTCTGTAGATACCGTGCCTGCTCTCAGGTCAGCTGGCTGCAGCCAGACCCCGAGCACACGGCCAGAGAACCTCTGCAGCCCACCAGCGGCTCTATCGCAGCAAGCAGCAAACGGCACAGAGCGTAACAGAACGGTTTGGATCGAGATAAAAGAGCGATTTGGCATCACCGTTGCTGCTTTAGCTTTCACCTAGGGAAGAACCCTTTGAAAAATCCATCTCTGAAACTATCAGTGTCAAAAATCCACAAAACTGGTATGAGCCAAATGCAAAGCCTGTTGAACTGGGTAAGAGTCTTTCCAGGAACTTTAGTTGGATTGGGCTTTCCCTGCACAAGTGAGAGAAGACTTTGTGAAACCTACTATAGACTTTCACTCTCCAAAATTTCTAAGGTACCTCTCATCTCAGCACCTAACCCTCGCTGTAGTGATGTGGAAGCAAAGAGCAATCCTTGAAGGTAAAAATTTGAGTAATATGAAAATTAGGAGTCTGTGTTTGCTAATTCATGTAAAACCTACCGTCATCCTCTCTTCAATTAGCAAACCATCGTGCCTATGAGGAACTTGTATTTTTTTCTGATTTTAAATATAAATGCAAACACAATTTATTCTAATCCATCCCTTTAACTACGTCAATTTTCCTCCTATAACTTGTACAAGACACTATGATTTTGAACAGAAGAAGCCTCATAATAGAAATCATCCATCCGTGTTGGAATATACGCAGATCCCTGACCTTAAAACCATTTTGCTAAGAAATCCAGCTAGAAAACTAATTTTAAGTAAATCTACGCATGTCAAAAATACAGATGGCTTTTCAGGATGCTAACTTAAGCATCATTACATAAGCAGATTAGGGCTGCCTGTTGAGCCCAGACACAAGAGTAGATGGCGCTGAATCCAGTATTACACACAAACTATTCACTTCCTGATACATCTTTCATCTAAAACTTTTGTCAGCTCTCCACGTTACTGAGCCTGCTAACTGTAAGCACTGCACACAGCGCAGCAGGTCTGCTGGCAAAGAAGCTATTATCCGTCTCTAAACCCCACTGTCCAAAGCAGCAGCTGGCTAAAGCCCATTTCTACAAATGGACCAAGGAAATGTTCCGTCCGTCACCCTCTTGAAATGAAAATGGAGGAAAACAACCTCATGAACCTTTCGAATATTTAAGCACAGCAGTTTTGGAATGATTTTCTGATGCAGAATTAGAGGATCAAAATTACCCTCATGTTACCATTGGTAACGGTGCCTCTACCTGAATATCAACTTAGAAAGTTAATGAGCCTGCTAGAGCTATCAGCTAAAATTACCCCAACAGTATGTGATCTGATGTGATTGCGGTAAGCAGGGCAGATAGTTCGCATTATGAGGATACTTTGTTTTTCAGAGGCGTGTTGCATAACAAGGCGCAGCAACTTGCCTCTCTCTGCTCTGAGCCCTCATTTCAAAGCACATCAGCTGGCTCCAAGAAGGCCCCCTGTTGAAAAGCAGCCAGGGGGACGGGATTTTGTTTTCCCTTCCCTGTGTGTAAGTGTCTCAGGTTTGTTGACAGATGGCTTGGCTGACTGTGCTTGACTATTATCAAGCAGCTATTACCTTTGTAAATTGAATCCCATTTGAAGATTTTCTGTAATTAAATCTGCAGTGTGTTTGCAAGGCTTATATTGCATCCCGCATGTACTTGGGAAGCGTGCAAGGCAGTCAGATGGCTGATTTACACAGCCAGAGACAGCAGCATCCTTCAGCCACAGGGATGGGGTGCTTTTGACAGTCTGTGCTGCCACCTAGCAAAGACCAAGCCATTGAGTTCAGCCTTGCTTTACATTTTCAAAGCTTAAATTGAAGCGTATCCCCCCAGATTTAAATAAAGCCTCAGTCCTCGGCAGACACAAGGAAATTTGCACTCTTTGTGTTTTGAGAATTGTACAGTCAATGGAAGAGAGCAGCTTAAAACAGGTAGTTACATTTCCCTCAGAAATGTCTTGTACTTACGGTAGAAGACATATTCAGTGTAGCTGGACCAGACCTTATCATCTGTGTACTGGTTGACAAAGGAAGCCGTCACCGAGGAGTTACATGCCACCATGTGGAATCCACACTCAGACAACATGTCGAAAGCCCTCTCCAGGTGCTTGAACTTGAGATAAAACCTGGAGGTGTACCTTTCTGGAGCCCTGTCTGGGTCTCTGCTTTCATTCAAACTTTCTCCAAAGACCTCTTTGACCAGAGCAATCCTTCCACAAACCAAAATCCTTGGGACCCTCCTGAATTTGGCATCTGCTTGGCTCTCCCTGCCAATAGTGCACGACCCCCGGTACCCAATGGTAATGAATCCCCACTTCCGATCAGGCGGTAAGAGCGATGAGGGTGGGCATATTCTCGTGTCACTGCCTTGGGAGACCTCTTCATAGTCACTGTGGCAATAATCATCAGGGCTTTGCTTGTTGTCATCGGGAGTCAGGAGTTTGACCAAGTCCGGGAGCTGAAAGTACTCAGCCTCCCTCTTGAGCCTTCCCTTCTCTGGGAAGTGGTCAGGCAGAACCACTTGCTTGTCCCTGAGATAGTCCAAAATATAGCGGAAAAGGAAACCATCTCTATCAATGAAGAATCTTCCCTTGGAGTCCTTGGCCAGGTCATTGGCTGTGTCTCTCTTTGGGGTGAACATCTTCCACAGCAGGGAGTGAGGGGTGCCAACCAAGGTGGAGTGGCGAGTGAAGTAAACCTGGCCGCCCACGTTTAGCTCCACTACCTCCGGGAAGGAGTGCAGCCCAGTCCCCTGCTCTCGAGGAGGAAGGTAAGTCCTGCAGTTGCCACTTAGAGCCATTGTACTTTAAAACAGAAATCAGCAGCACGAAGCAGCAGGACTGTCAATCACATCAAAGTGTAGAAGCTCCCAACATTAAGGAGAAACAGGGAGGAACAGGGAAGTAAGAAAAGAAAAATAGCCAAAAGGTTTGTTTAAAAAGAATCTGAATTGTCCATGAGTGACAGTGTGGCAAATGTGGCTTATACCCTAAGCCATAGAGGCTGGAGAGCAATCACTTCATGAAATGCAATCACATCATTAGATCTTCTAACCAAGCCATCAAAATCAGGGTCAAGCCAAGCCTATGGTCATTCACGGCTCTGTCAAAAGGAAAAGAAAATAAGACACAAATTATTCTTTTAAGCATCACAGAAGCTGCAACAGAGAAAAGCAGATCAGTTTAGAAAGCCAAGTCACCACCTGGTCCTGGTGGCTTATTAACTTTTAAATCTTCTGGTTTTTTCACAAGTACTGATCAATGGAAGGACTACATATGACTCCACCGTTTAAAAGAAAATACATACTTCAACTTTAAAGAAACATAGACTTTAGACATGCATATGAAGGAACAAGAACTGCAAGTCTTACCTTGGTTACAATTAATGCATAGCTCTTGTAAAGGAAAGCATAATTTCAAGACACTCAGAACACACATACAGGCACACAGAGTCCAGTAAGTATGAAATCCGATCCCAGCAAGGGACAGCAAAGGCAAGAAAAGTGCTCTTAGCAACATCCATGTAGATCTCAAGAGTTAAACCGAGTCACAGGAAAGTTAATCGTGGCAGGTGGCGAGAGAAACCAATACATACAGCACGATGGGGGAGAAGAAAAAAAAACACAACAACCCACAACAAAAAACCCCGAATAAATCCGCTGGGGCTCCGTGAGAGCGGGGCAGGGGGAGCGCGGGGTGCGCGTTTTGGCTGGCTCAGATGACTTGCAGAAACCCCGCAGCCTGCGCTAAGGGCTGGCGAGCTCCAGCGGCTCCCGCGGCGGCAGCCACCCGGGCAGCGCGGCCGGCGG